TGTGTGTGTGTGTGTGTGTGTGTGTGTGTGTGTGTGTGTGTGTGTGTGGTGGGGAGGGGTTCCTTCCCCAAGCAAATCTATCTAATTTTTCATCCTTGCCACCCTCAATCTGGCCCATCCAAACGCTAACAATAAGACAGTTCACTCTTTCTGGGAACAGTTTAAACATTCTTCTAAACTGTCCTGAGTGACCCTGATTTCACATGGAAAGCCTTGAAAAGGACAAGTAACATCTTCACAGAATCGCAGAATTTGAGATTTAGAAGGGAAGCATTCAACTAGTCCAACCCACAACCTGAAACAGGGATTCTTAACTCCTATTTGGGGGTTCTTGGACAGATTTCAAGGTGTCTTTGAACTTGAATGGGAAAAATATATCTTTATTGTCACTAATCTCTAACAAAAACAGCATTTCCTTCAATTATTTTAACACATTATTTGAAGGAGGGGTCCATGGGCTTTACTAAATTGTCAGAGGGTTCCATCACACACACACACACACACACACACACACACAGAGTTAAGAACTTCTGCCCTAAAGGAATTTCTACTACAATTTCCCCAATGAATAGTTGTCCAGTCTCTGCTTGACAACCTCCAAAGAAGGGGAACTTATACCTTTGTGGATATCTCAACTGATAAGAGGTAGTCTGAGGCAGGTAGGGCAGAGTCAATGATGGCTGAGGTTATAAAGTTGAGTGACTGGAATGTCCTCAACAAAAATGGGGAAATTTGGTCAGGAGGACCTGAGTTCAAATGTGGCCTCAGATGCTTGATGCTTACTAGCTGTGTGACCCTGGGCAAGTCACTTAACCCCATTTCCTAGCCAAAAAAAAAAAAAGAAAGAAAGAAAGAAAAAGAAAAGGAAAAAATGGGGAAATTTGGAGAATGGATAGATTTAGGAGGAAACAAAAACAAGGTCCATTTAAGACATGATGAATTTGAGATAACTACAGGACAGTCAATTAGAGATGTTCTGCAGGCAATGGAGAATTTTGACCTATACCTACATACCTACATCTTGGAGTCTTTGCATAAAGATAGTTGAACTCATGAGAGATAAAAACAGACAGACAGACAGACAGACAGAGAGAAAGAGTAAAGAAAAAAAGTCTGTGACAGAAGATTAGCATAAAAAACAACATTTAGACAACAGTAATGAAAGTGAGAGAAAGTGGGATGAAGTAGATTGAGAACTGGTCTTTTTTTTTTTAACTTTTGGAAATTTAAATCAAAGTTTTATTTGACAGAATTACAGAATCTCAGAATTGAAAAGGACCTCGGAGGTCATCTAATCCAGTCCATGGCTGAAAAATAATCTTGTCAACAATATACCTGACAAGTGGTCACCCAGCTTTTGCTTGAAGACCTCCAATAAGGGGAGAGACCATGAATTACCTCCCAAGGCTCCCCATTCCTCATTTGCAAAGCTCTAATTTGTTCAGAATATTTCACTTGTATCCACCCTACATTTGCCTCTGCTACTTCCACCCACTGTTCCCAATTCTTCTCTCTGGGGACAAGCAGAATAGGTCTAATCTGCCTTCCAGGGGATAGTCCTCTACTTAAAGCCCTAAATCTTCCCCTAGCTGGACATTCCCAGTTCCTTCAAATGGTACATGATAGTCATCTTCCAGGTACTCTCCAGTTTATCAATGTGTTTCAGTTATAAAAAATATTCACATTTTCATTTATCAAGTCAATTTGGGGGATCCATAGCAAAATCAGAACATGAAAACCACTCATTTTTCCCAGTGCTAACCCAACTGTCCCCTCCATACAAGCCCTAGGTCAGGGCTTCTTAACCTCTTTTATGTCATGAATCCCTTTGGAAATCTAGTGAAGTCGATTTAGAGTAATGATTTTAAATTCATAAAAACAAAATACATAGGCTAGGATGACCAAGGAAACAAATTATATTTGAATACACTTATTGATATTTTTTTTAAAAAATGTCATAGATACCAGATAGAAAATGCCTGCAAGAGGAAAGTAATTTTAGAATGAACATATTTAACAGTCTAATACAAAGCAAACAACAAAGTTATCTGCATTAGAAGTAAGGAGAACCACCCATTTCAAATATTAGCCAGCTGAACAAACAAAAAATATATGGCTGTATAGGCATGTAAATAGCTAATAGGAACTTTACACATAGAAGAATAGGCTTTGGAAATCATCTAGTCCACTCCCCCTCATTCTTTGTTGAAGTTGAGTCATTTCAGTTGTGTCCAACTCTTCATGACCCCATTTGTGGTTTCCTTGGCAGAGATACTGGAGTGGTTTGCCATTTCCTTCTCCAGTCCATTTTACTGATGAGGAAACTGAGGCAAACAGGGTTAAGTGACTTGCCCAGGGTCACACACCTAGTAAATATCTGAGGCTAGATTTGAACACGGGAAGATGAGTCTTCCTGATTCTAAGGCCAGCATTCTATGCACTGTGCCACCTAGCTGTGCCTCTCTCCCCCAACATTTTTATAAATAAATAGAGTCAAGAGAGATTAAGTGACTTCCCAAGGTCACACAGTCAAACCCAAGATCTTCTGAATCACACAGTAGTTAGCTTTCTTCCATCACGTTATATTGCCTCTCAACTGTAAATATAAAGTCTTATACTTCCTTGGGTTAAAAAGATCGCTTGCATGGGACCAGGAAGGGCAAAATGTGGGAAGATACATAGAATTGATAGAAGCTAGGTGATGAGAACATAATTCCCTTAGCTCTTAATGATCTTCCTGATGTGAGACAGAACCAGAAAATGAATGTTCATGAGGAAAGGACAGGAGGACGATAGTGGGCTACAAGTTCAACCCCGAGTTAACAGGCTGATGGGGCAGCCCCAAAATCTAATAGGAAATTAGGCTCCTTTTCACAATAGCATGAAAGTGACTCTGGGATCTCAAAAGTCACACTATTGAAGCACAAGCAAGAAACAGAAAGGTTATGGGTATGGATTGGCCTGTCCATCATCTGAGGACACAGTTAGCTAAGTGCTAAGAGGACAGATGTCAGATAATGAATTTATTTGTCCTCAAACACTCATGAAAATGTTTGCTAAGGCATGGAGAGGCTGGGATTTGCATTAGTGAAGGGAGTTCCCACATTATGAGCTCTGAAATCACAGATCTGTTAGTCTGTGTATCCAAAATGAGGAAAGTTATAGTGCCACTGAACTCTGCCTCAGCCAGACTGCATCTGGAATAGTGTATTCAGTTCTAGCCATCATACTTTTTTAAAGGTCAGTGATGATTTTGAGCATGTCCAGTGGTGACCAGGTTGGTGAGAGGATTAGAAACCATGCTATATATAAGGATCAGTTGAGGAACTGGAAAGTGTAGCTTGGAGAAAAAGACTTGGAAGGATGTCATAATTGCCTTCAAGTATATAAAGAGCTATCATGTGTTTCAGGGATTAGATTCAATTTTTCTTGGACCCAAAGCGCAGAACCAAGATCAATAAATGGAAAATGAAGAGGAAAATTTCAGTTCAATTGGAAGGGAAAAACTTCCCAACAATCAGAGTTATCCAGAAGTGAAATGACTGCCTTAGGACGTAATAAGTTTAGACAATAGGACTTAATTGGTCCAGTGTCCAAATACCACAGTTCCAGAACTTCAGATTTTTTCCATCACACCATGTTGCCTCTCAACTGCAGATATAGAGTCTTATACTTTCTTAGGCCAAAAACAAAAACCAAAAAGCCAAGTAGGACTAGGAAGGGAGAAATGTGGGAAGATACACAGAATTAATAGAGGCTAAGTGATGAGATGGATAACAGAGCACTGGGCCTGGAGTCAGGAAGACTCATCTTTTTTAGTTCAAATCCAGCCTCAGACACTTACTAGCTGTGTGACCCTGAGCAATTCCCTTAACCCTGTTTGCCTCAGTTTCCTCATTTGTAAAATGAGCTGGAGAAGGAAATGGCAAACCACTCCAGTATCTTTGTCAAGAAAATCTCAAATGGGGGGTAGCTAGGTGGCGCAGTGGATAGAGTACCGGCCCTGGAGGCAGGAGGACCTGAGTTCAAATCCAGCCTCACACACATAACACTCACTAGCTATATGACTCTGGGCAAGTCACTTAACCCCAATTGCCCTCACCGAAAAAAAAAAAAAAGAAAAAGAAAATCCCAAATGGAGTCACAAAGGGTTGGACATGACTGAAATGAATGAACAACACGTAATGAGAAGACAATTCCCTCAATAGATAATTCTCATGATCTACAGCCATGGATTGTCCCATTCTTTGTATTTGTATATAACACATGCCTTCCACCTATTAGGCATTTA